AGACTTGTCCTCAGTGTCTCAGGTTCCTCGTCTGGAAAGTGGAGATAATAATAGTGTCTACCTCACAGGGTTATCGTGAGAACTAATTAGGTAATCTATGTAAAGGACTCAGAAGAGTGTCCACTGGCATATAGCTAGTGTTCAATAAATAATGTGTCACGTATACATAAATTTTAACTTTTGATGACTGAATCGTTGAACTCCAGTGCGTCTGTGTGTGCATGCGTGCGTGTTTTCAGTGATTATATGCATTGAATTTTGCTTTGGCTATAACTAAAGTTAAGTTGCTTTGCCCAAATGAACATGTATCAGCTTGCAGGAGGAGACGGTGTGGTATGAGACAGATGGACTTATTCCAGAATTAAAAGGTATCTGCTAAGGGGATAGTCTCCATGCAGATATCGGTTGGTTTTATACACTTTCTGGAGTGATAACCCACAGTTCCTCCAACAGGCACTTTATCCACCAGAACCTGAAACATCTCCTCAAGGTGAGATTACTAGATTCCAATGCCATGAGCTCACTTTGCGAGTATGCCCCGTGCCACCCAGTGCACACAAAAGTCTCTCTGTAAATGCCCGTTTCCTCAGGAGTGTTGTGGGCAAAGCGGTCCACCCAGAAAGGAGACCCCCTTACACATCAAAGGTGAAGAGCCACCACAATTGCTGGCGTTTGGACTTTGTTTGGACTTTGTTTTCTGCAAGCTTGCCAGTCCCTAGCCCCTTCTCCGAAAAATCTCCCAACTGCGATTATCGTTCTAGATTACCTACCCCACATCACGCCCAGTCTCCGACTCTCAGACACCCCCTAAGTCCTAACCACCCTCTTTCTCCTTACTTCTGGAAAGGTTTCCCCAAACGACACCAAGACTGAAGGGGTTCAGCAGCATAAAATTCAGTCCACAAGGGGTGGGGGAGGGTGCGGAGAGGGGGGTTTTCTTTGATCTATCTAATGAATTAATGAATTAAACAAAAGTGGAGTTCAGAAGCCAGGCTCCTTACTTTTGCTGAAGCTGGGCTGATTACGGGCAGGCAAAACTGCTGGAAAAATGCAGCTTTGGGGCCAGAAGAATTAGGGACATGGCCGAGTCCATTCATCTTCCCTAATCGAGTTCTTGGGAAACACACATGTAGATTAGCCCCTAACAATGGCCCCCGGCTGATTGCTTGGAGGACCCTGCACTGTGCCCACAATGCCGCTGACTAGCTCTTTATGCCACGCACAAAAGAAGGCCCAGCCTCCCCTCGTCCTGCCTTGCCCTGTCTCCTCCTGGTCCCTTGCCAGTGGCTGTTGAAGTCCTTTCTGCCTTTCTCTGAAATAAACTCTGAAATGAACTGTAAATAGAAGCTAACCTCACCTGCACCTATTGGGGAGTGCGGGGCAGTTCCAGAGGGAATTAACTTTGGAAAACAAGGCCGGTAAGCCCCTTAGCGTGTGGGCAGGAGCTTAAGAAAATGCTGCCAATCTTTGTTTAGCAGTGGTTACAGAGATCAATGTAATATTGGGGAAGTTGACGTAAAAAGTATACCCAGAGGGGAAACCACAGACAGCGGCCGATTCCCTCTACGGCTGCCCTAAGGGGCCGTCAACCCCCACCCCCGCCCCCGGCTCTTTGTGACTGGGTGGGGGCCGCGTGGGTGCCACCAGCCCGTTTTCAGGGAGGGTGCTTCGGACAGCCTAGAAGAGCTGAAGCAGGCCGGCCGCAGGCTTCTCCTGCCCTGGGGCGGGGCCCTCCCGAGGGTCTGTCCTTCCCCCTGGACACCGGCGCCCAAAGGCCACTGTCGACAGGCTCGACTGCATCTCTTTGAGGAACTAAGCTGCCTCTGCCTCAGAGTCTTGTACACAGGATTCAGGGTCCGGGGAGGATTAAAGACAGACTGCACAGTAAGACGCGTCTTGAATCTGTTCAAAAATATCACACTCTGACGTAATGATTACAAATGAGGGACAGCCAGACAGCACTGGATAAGGAGCCGGAGAGACTGAGTTCTGGTCCTGTCCGCTCCACTTAAGGGCCGTATCATTTAAAGCCTCAGTCTTCTCTTCTGTAAAATGGGAGCAAATATATTTTTCCAGCTCACCTCACAGGGTTATGAGGCTAGAATGGTATGAAGAATGTGCTGCAAGCCATAAAGTGATATGCAAAACTGTAAAGTGTGTATTGATCTTCATTAATGTAGCTTTTTTAAAAAAAAGTTTCTCAAGGGGGCCGCGTGGGTGCCACCAGCCCGTTTTCAGGGAGGGTGCTTCGGACAGCCTAGAAGAGCTGAAGCAGGCCGGCCGCAGGCTTCTCCTGCCCTGGGGCGGGGCCCTCCCGAGGGTCTGTCCTTCCCCCTGGACACTGGCGCCCAAAGGCCACTGTCGACAGGCTCGACTGCATCTCTTTGAGGCACTAAGCTGCCTCTGCCTCAGCGTCTTGTACACAGGATTCAGGGTCCGGGGAGGATTAAAGACAGACTGCACAGTAAGATGCGTCTTGAATCTGTTCAAAAATATCACACTCTGACGTAATGATTACAAATGAGGGACAGCCAGACAGCACTGGATAAGGAGCCGGAGAGACTTAGTTCTGGTCCTGTCCGCTCCACTTAAGGGCCGTATCATTTAAAGCCTCAGTCTTCTCTTCTGTAAAATGGGAGCAAATATATTTTTCCAGCTCACCTCACAGGGTTATGAGGCTAGAATGGTATGAAGAATGTGCTGCAAGCCATAAAGTGATATGCAAAACTGTAAAGTGTGTATTGATCTTCATTAATGTAGCTTTTTTAAAAAAAAGTTTCTCACATAAATCAGTAGCTCAAGTCTACCTACTGCAAACTCATACATTTGCTATTTTAATTTAGCTTTTTATAGTTTTATTAAAAAGAGAGAGATTAGTGGACTGAAACCCTCCCATGTGCCCATTTTGGAGAATTAACCATTGCCATTTAAAGATCCTTAACATTGTCACGTGCCCTTTTAAATGTCCTTCTAACATTAATTTAAAGGTGGAGGATCCTAAGATTTGAGGTTTTCTCTTGTCGGCAGAGGATGAGATGCGTAGATAGCATCACCAACCCAATGGACATGAATTTGAGAAAACTCCAGGAGATAGTGAGGGACAGGGAAGTCTGGCGTGCATGGGGTGGGAAAGAGTCGGACACGACTGAGCGACTTAGCGACTGACCAACAGCAACTTCCTTTGTCTTGCTGTCTTACTGAAAGTTAAAGCTCTTGAGGCCATGGGCCCCAGGCTCTCCTTTCTTTTGTGATGTCAACGAGGCGCACATCAGTGTCCCCCGCTCAGTAGGGACGCAGTAAGTGCCCATCTTAGTGCAAGATGAAGTCAGTCAACATGGCAGCAGGGGAGACGCGTCGAACTGGAGATCAGAGGGCCTCTGCAAAGGAATTCTAAAAATCTCAGGTTTCTATCTGTATGAGATGGTGGATGTTAACTAAATCAGTAACCATTTATGTGTGTATGTGTATATGTGTCAAATCATCATGCTGCACACCTTAAACTTACGCAGTCAGCACAACTAGGAAGCAAAAGGAAAAGAATCTCTAGATCCTTAGGCTTTTATTAGGAAAGCATTTTGGTTCACACTTCCTGCCAGCATTTCAATGAAGGTGCTTCCTCGGATCTAGTATCAGGTGTGAGCAGTGTTGTTCATAGCACTGGGAGAAGGGGGTGGGGGAAGTTCACCCGCACAAATCATCTTTCCACTTGGCCTATGGAAGCCACTCTGGGCCATGGCAGCCTCGTGGAGTCCCCAACGGGGAAAGAAATGCCGGTTGATGGCGGCCGGAGCCCGCAGAGAGGCGAGACCTTGCCCCGGGGGAGAAGGTCCTTCCGTCCTCAGCCTGAGGTTGGGTCATCTCGGCCTGGAACATTGTTCGGTGGGGAGGGGTCCCTCAGGACAAACAGAGGGACAAACACCCAGGCGGGTCTCCCACCGGCCGGAGGCCGGCCGCGCGTCGGACTCGGTGTCCCCGAGCCTCGGGCTGGGCGGTGGGCCCGGGAGGTCGCCGGGCTTGGGGACGCGGATGGCCCCACCGCCCCTGGAGCGGGCGCCGTCGTCAGAGAGCTGCGGGCGCACGATCCGAGGGGACAGGGAGAAGCGGTTAAGTCAAACACAATCAACCTGAAACCCGAGGCTTCGAACTGCCGAGAAAGAGGAGCGCAGGCGGGGGGACATACTTAAGGAGAGAGAGAAGGGGGGAAATTCAAAGTTAAGGAGCGTGGACAGACTTCCGACTCCGTAAAGCCGGGTAGCCTCCTCCCGGTCTGTCAAGGGTCGCCGCAGGCGCTCAGTTCTGCGGAGGACGGGAGCCTGGGGGAAGGCGGGTCTGGGGAAGGGGAGGAGGCTGAAGGAGGCAGCTGAGCCCCCGGGGGAGGTGGGACGGAGGGCGTCGGCCCCACGGGGGCAGGCCTGGGCGAAGCGGGCCCTCGGAGCCGGGCGCCCGGGCCCGTCAAACAGGCCACCGCGGGCCTCCAGCTTGTGGACGGTGGACGGAGAGAGGGGAGGGGGAAGGTTCCGAGCGCGCGCCGCCGGGGCTGGGGGGGCGAGGACCCTGAGGACGGACCGGGGAAGGACCCGCCCCGCTGCAGGGAGGGGCCAGGGCAGAGGACGGTGCGGGCGAGGGGAGGAGCCGGGGCGGGCGCGCTCCCTGCCTTAGCACCCCGAGTCCTGGCCNGAGGGGCCAGGGCAGAGGACGGTGCGGGCGAGGGGAGGAGCCGGGGCGGGCGCGCTCCCTGCCTTAGCACCCCGAGTCCTGGCCACCCGCGGGCGGAGCTCCAACTCCAGCCGGGACCCAGGCCCCCGCGGACCCGGCGCTCACCCGCCTCTAGTGCACACAGGCGGGGCTGGCGGCGCTCGCAGCTCTTGGCCGCGGTTCGGTCCCCCTCGGGCTGGACGGCCGCCCCCGGGGGAGCCGACTTCGAGCCTCTGCTCGCCGTCTTCGGGGCCGGCGGCGAAGCCGAGAGCGCGGGCCGCGTCCTCCCGGCCCCGGCGCCCCCCATGCACCTGCCGGGCTGCGCCCCAGCCATGGCCGACGGCAGCTTCTCGCTCGCCGGCCACCTGCTCCGCAGCCCCGGCGGGAGCACCTCGCGGCTGCACAGCATCGAAGCCATCCTGGGATTTACCAAGGACGACGGGGTCCTCGGCTCCTTCCCGGAGGAGCGGGCCGCCCGGGGCACCAAGGAGCGAGATAGGAGGCTGGGCGCGCGGCCCGCCGGCCCCAAGGCGCCTGCCGGAGGCGCCGAACCGTCCCCGCCGCCCGCCCCGGCGCCAGCCCCGGAGTACGAAGGTGAGTGCACACCCCGGATGCCCCGAGACCCTCAGGGCTCCCAGACTCAGGAGCTCTGTGAGAAGAGGAGCGAGCCCCTGCCTTCGCTGTTATTAAAGCATCTGGGAGCGGGGCTGGGGGCTGTGTGCATAGCACGGGCTTCCCACCTGCTCTCTGGCAAAGCTTAGGGACCCCTCGCAGCTCTCACCTCCCTCCTCCTGGGGCCAGCTCGGAGCCCGTGTAGGTAGGCAGGGTGGCCCCCGGGTACCCCGAGCAAGTGTCTCTGACCGTCGGGGGTCTCCTCGTCCCAGCCCCCCGCCCCTACTGCCCCAAGGAGACCGGGGAGGCTCGGCCGAGCCCTGGGCTGCCTGGAGGAGCGTCCGCCCCCGGCGACTCGAAGCTGTCGGAGGAGGAGCAGCCCAAGAAGAAGCACCGGCGGAACCGCACGACCTTCACCACGTACCAGCTGCATGAGCTGGAGCGCGCCTTCGAGAAGTCGCACTACCCCGACGTGTACAGCCGCGAGGAGCTGGCGGGCAAGGTCAACTTACCCGAGGTCCGAGTCCAGGTAAAGCGCGCAGACGGGCCCGGGGAGGGCGGCTGGCTCGGGCTGCGGCCGGCGCTCCCTAGGACCCCCGGGCGGCCTCGCGTTTACAGCACTTTCCCCGTGGGCCCTCCTCGACTTGGCTCGCCCAGAGCCCCCCGGGAGCGTCACAGATTTCCCGTGCGCCCCGCGCACCGGCGCTTGGACGGTCTGTTCGAGTTCGTAGTAGAGGAAACGCTGAGTGGAGAGGGAGTGTAGGAAGCGGCTCCAGTGTAACCGGATTGAGGCCCCAGATGCCTCCCTATTCGCTAACGGCGGGCACCTCCTTGGAAGCGAAAACCCTGTCTTCTTACGGGAGCCTGGCGCCTCGCAGTTGAAACTTTCGGAGGATTTGTTTAAGAAACTGACTTTTGCTTCTCTGGTGCACCTCCAGCCAAACTTCCCGCTGCTGCGGAGGCCCTTTTCTTTTTTATTTAAAGGGGTTTTCGCTTTAATTAAGGCTGAATTATCTTTAATCCCTGATCATTAAAATATTTGAAAGCCTTAAATATTTGCTAGTCATCTGTGAAAAATCTGGGAGGATTTCCAAATTGGGAGAGGCCTGAAGGGGAGACATTGGGAACAAATTTCGCCGCATCTGTAAGGCCGAGGGGCTGAGATGGGACTTCTGTGTGTGTCTAATGACTTGGATTTCCAGGAAGGGAGGAAACTCAGACGTTTGGGGCTTTTAGCCTTGTCTTAAAAAGTAAAAGCAGACAGACTCTTGCTTTTGTCTTTTCTGCTTAATTAAAGGGGTTAAACTAATGGGTTAATGTCATGGTTTGAAAACATAGTTCCCCAATGTGACTTAGCACTATATGGGGCAGGGACAGTTCCATTTCTCCTAATTCGGGGCAGAGGAGCTGCAGGGGTTTCACTGAAGGGGTGGACAGGTCAGCACCTGCTTTACAGGGAGGGAGGGTGGGGTGGGGAGAAGGGAAGAAAACAAGTGAAAAATGAAGAAAAAGGACAGGGCAAAGCCCCCCAGTGCCTCTCTGGGATACAGGCCCAGCCCACTTGAAAGGCTGTCTTCACACCGCTGTCCCACCTTCCTTCTCCTTTACTTGTTCCTTCCCTTTGACTTGTTCGGGATGTTTGCTTCTTGTCTAAGATGTGTGCTTCTTGAGAAGTGTCTGGCTTCTCTGTATCACGGGGCGCACAGTGGCCCAGCATATGGTGTGTTCTTAGCACATGGCTATGATGTCATCAGATGGGGGGGGACTAGACAGGGTCCCCACTGTGTTGAGGGAGCAGAAGAGCGGACTACCCCAGGCTTTAGCCCTTGAACTCTGGATACTGGACCTAAAGCCTAGAGCCAATGTTTCAGGGGATGGAGTGGGATTTGGGTGGGGGGGGGGCAGTGGGATGTGCCAGTGCTTATTATATATCTAATGTTTCTGGGGAAATTCTGGCCTGAGATATAGATGAATCATTTACAGAAAGGGGCCCAGGGAATCTGCATTTTCTGTTCTTTCTCTCCCTCCCCCTCCCACCCCCTGAATCCCAGCCTTGCAGACAGTTGCCTTGCTCTACTCAGGTGTTGGGTGTTTTTTGTTTTCTCAGTTTTCCTAGGGAGTCCCTCTCCCTATTATTAACTCGCAGAACTGCTGTCTCCCTTTTGAGGTGTCAACTTTCCCCCAATTTTCCTTCATAAATTCAATGCTGAGGCCACCAGTTTGGCCAAAGTTCCTCCTAGATTCTGCACTAAACTAGACCAGTTCTCTGTGTTCTGTTTTGGGTGGGGGGGGTAACTCGGTAGTGAAGCCTTAATTATGCCCTCTCCTGTGCTTTTTATCAAATCAGAAGGGAAGTTTCAGCATTAAGAGACTTCACTCTTTAAAAAAAAGACTTCACTCTTGGCATGGATTCTCTAAAACAAAAAGAAAAACTTGAACTCATTGAATTCATCTTAGGTTCATGTCAAAACTAACCATACATAAAAGTAGACTATTAAACTTGAACTATTGTAATCCTCAAAAGCCACTTTTAAGAAACATCAGAAATGAGTCAGATATCAAGTAAAAATGAAAATCTTAGGAGAGCAGCAACATGCATATTTAAGTATGCCCGGGATAAGAACATCAACGCAGTTCGTCCTGTCAGTTACCGTAACCAAGAACGGGAGACAGGTCCATTTTAACAGCCAGTGTTGCCAGTTGGCGTACTTCGAGCCTTCGTTTATACCTCTGTTTATAACGGAGGCAGAGGTAGATAGGCCACTGTGAGCCGTGCCACGCGGGGAGGAAGCCGGGTCCAAAGCGAAGTGTCAGCATGGGGCGCCAGCCAGCAGTCGCAGAAATTTGGTGAGATCGGGTTTCCCAAGCCCCAGGGTCCGGTTCCGGGGTTAACTTCATCCCCCCCCCCCACCCCTCCTGTTTGGTGCCACGAGGTGGAAACTACCACAGCTAAGGGTGAGGTGAAACAAGGATAGGCTGGAACCATCACGGACGACCGTTTGGGACAGAGTCTCAGAGCGCGCGAGGGAGGAGGGTAGCCTTGGGCAGACGAGACAGAACAGACGGGCACCGCGGGTGTGCAGCAGGGGTCGGGGGATGAGAGGCGCAGGGGGAGCCGTGGAGCCCCGGCTTTCCTCGCGGGCGGGGAGTCCTGCGCCCTCCGCACCCCGACGGCGCTCTGCTGCTGCCTTCCGCAGGTGTGGTTCCAGAACCGACGCGCCAAGTGGCGGCGGCAGGAGAAGCTGGAGGTGTCGTCCATGAAGCTCCAGGACTCGCCCCTGCTCTCCTTCAGCCGCTCCCCGCCCGCCGCGGCCCTGGCGCCCCTCGGAGCGGGCCCGGCGGGCGGCGGCGGCGGGCCGGC